TACTGGCTAGAGAATATAACAAATATGCATTATACAAGGAAACACCGTCTTGCAACATACTGTATGAGGAAAGACTGTCTCATACTATGCATAAGGAAACACTGTCTTATGCCTCACACAAGGAAACACCGTCCTGTGTGGCATATAAACATATATATACATATATATACAAGTAACATATAACAGATCATTTTCAACATACATATCAAAGAACCATCCTCCCTCAAAGTCTAGTGGAACAAACGAGGGATTAACCCCAAGGACCGAAAGCTTACCTTGATTAGCTCTCAAACCTAGCCTTTTTCCAAGCTAAGTAAGGTCCACGAGCCAACATAATGCTTTATCAATAATCACAACACATATTTCAAGGTGAAGATTATCACAATTAATCACATATTCATTATATAAGTCTCATGTCAAACCATTGTTGATACTTACCTTAATCCAAAACAATCAAGAGCTTTGGTCAATGTCCATAGCTTGATCTAATCCATGCTCTTGCTCCACTAGTTCACTTGATTTCACACTATAACCAATGAACACATATCCATCAATATTCACATTTATAAACTCAACGTGAATCCTACACAAAACCAAGGTTTTCACACTTTAATATCACTTGATTTTGAGTCCAATTTATCAAAGTGTTCTAAATGGCGATTTCATAATTTTTCCTTTTACGGGAACTAATCCCAAGCATGTTTAACAAAAGGACTCACATACAAATCACCCTCAAACTACTCAAGCCATCAAATTTTCGAAATTGAGATATAGCTAAAAAAACCATGATTTTCTATAATGAGCTAAACGGTGATTTCTTTTGTTGTCCTCTCACAAGATGCATTTCTAAGCATATTTAATAAAGGACATCATATACAAAATAACCTCTAATACATCTGACCATCAAATTTCGAGTTACTATTCATATAAAACCTAAGATTCTTGAAATTCCATAATAATGAGATTTGAGTGGGGGGAAACTTACCATAATTCATCATAGATTGTTGGAGAAAGGAGACTCCAAGCTCCAATGCACTCAAAGCACCCAAAATCCTGAAAATTCTTCACTAACTCGAAATGGAAGAGGTGAAAAATCTCTCTCCACAATGAACCCCAATCGAAAATAAGCTATGGGTTAGAAAGAGGAGAAGTTTGACACACTTTTGGCTTTAGAACCAAGTTATTTGGAGGTCTCTAGCTCTTTCTATGATTTTTAAAAAATTTCCAACTTTCTTGCCGTGGAGGAGGGGCTGCCGTCGGGTGAGGAAGATAGAAGTGAGAGGGTTGAAATGGTTTATGATACTTTAAGTGAGTTGTATTCACCAAGTGGATACACACTTATCTATCTCTCTCACTTAACTCTCATTCCAACTTTACACATTAGTCTAAAATATTTTTTTGGTAATATTTATAATTTTACTGTCATTTTGTGGGTAACTTTGTTTACCCGCATTTTTACCCCAATAATGTCATTTTTAACTCATTTTCACTATGTGGCTTTAATCTTTTCATCACTACTCTAATTAATTCTTCATTAATTATTATTATTTCATAATAATTTCATAGACTCCGTAATTACCGGTTAGGTCATTATAATTTCCAAGTAAATGTTCTTTTCCCTGGTCCTCTGTTTCTTTTTCTCTTAACGTTGGTATATTCTTTATAGGTTAATCAGTACTACCCACCCCTTCTCAAATAAATAAACAAAAAACAGAATGAGAGAGTTTTCTTTGGTAGATAACAATTCTAAGAAAATGATAAAACCCAAATGAATACCATGAGACAAGTAAGACACTAATTAAGCAAGGCATTTCCATTTGTTGGTTACCAAAAATTCTAGAATTAAAAGACTGTAAATTTGAGCTAATGTTTGCTAAAAGAATTTAGAACCGAACAATATTGTGTATAGAAATGAATCTCGTCCATCTTCAAAAGAGATGCTTACTAGATGAAGACCCCAAATTATATATTAGAACTAAGCTTCTTGAATAGGCATTAGGTATATTATTATTATTTAGAAGGCATTCTTTTGGATAGTTATTCAATCAGATAAAATAAGATTCATTAAGAGAACTCACGTAATAAGTAGTACCAGCGAAATTTCCAGGTATAAGTTTGATTTGCATGTCAATCTTGTCAAAACGATATTGATTCTTAGATTGAAAGCCAAAGCCAAAAGCACTTTCAAAGGACAGAGTAAGAATCTGACCATTATTCATAATCTTACATCTGCCACCTCCCCAAGTGATATCAACATCTTGGTAGAAGTTGCCAGCAAAGGCAACCATGGAAGGTGTAGAGATTAGAAACGCTATGACTAGCACAAACAATGTAGTAGTACAAGGAATAGAAGAGAAAGTAGCCATTGGACAACGGGTAATGTTGCAGTGTTTGCTGAATATGTGTTTTGTATGTGAGATAGAATTGGCATTTGGTGCATAAACTGATGAGAAAGTAGGGGTGTTCGCGGTTTGGATTGGATCGGTTTTGAAAGTAAAAATCATCCGATTCAATTCCTTCGGTTTGATCATGTTATCATCCATTCGGTTTGGATTTTTTTTCAAATCCGATCCGATCCAATCCAATTTTTTCGATTTGGATTGGATCGGTTTTTGGTTTTTTGAAAATCCTAAAATTTGTTTCATGATTATTGTGCAAATAACATATTTTGTATATATTAGCTTTGTAATTTTTTTTTTGAAATACAAAAGAATCAGTAAACGAAGTTTTTTTTTGGCAATGAGATGTAAAGCTCTACACAGATGAAATTTTGTTGATGAGATGGATTAGATTTTTTCTTGGGTTTAGTTGATGGGTTAATGAGTCTTGCGTTTAGAAATTTTTGTGGACTATGATTGGGAAAATGCCTAAGTAGGTAGAGGGGAATTAATATATTGGATCGGTTTGGATTTGATCAGTTTTCATCAATCAATCCGAAAACCGATCTAATCCAATTAAAATTTGCGGTTTTTTTTTCGGTATTTGATTTATTCGGTTATCGGTTTTTCGGTTCGGTCATCGCGATTTGAATTGGTTTGGATCAGTTGATGAATATCCCTACGAGAAAATAATTTGCAGCACGTGGTATTATTGATTCCTAGTATTGATCTATATACCTATATTTTTTCTTCAAATTTTTGGGGGTGCAGCCACTAACCCTAGCCCCCCATAGGTCCACCCCTGGTCCCATTCATTTGGATAAGAATAATTCCCTTCATGAGGTAGGATGTAGAACTTTTTGCCATTAATCCCAAGTGGTTTCATTTAGAAATCGAAATAGAGAACTTTGACAACCCATTTATTAGGTGTGGCACCCTTAAAATTAATTTTCTAAACAACTTAAAAAAAAAAGTGTGCATAATTCACAATACCTTAGTATAATTGCAAGCACGGAAAATTTTGTGACCTAGACTACATGTGCAAGACCCATTTAAAAATTAAATAAGGCATTAAGCAATTCAACAAATCATCTTGGTATATTAGGAAATATTACTCACACAAGCTATTAATGACATATGACAATGATAGTGTGACAAATCGTTTTCCACATTATCATTTAACAGAAACATGTTAAGTCAAAGAACTAAGATTGATCACCTTTAAATATCAAAGGACAACAAAGCTAAATCCAGAATAAAAAGGAACATAAACAAAATTTTATATATTTATGGAGAACAAAAGCATATTTAATCATTCTTTTAAACTACCGGCGAAACAAAACAAATTTGAAACACAGTATTTTTTTCTTTTTCTTTTTGGTAGTTTTAAACATAGTATTTCATTGTAACACAAAAATTGTTGTTTGGGGCCTACTCAATGTTTAAGTTCCTCATCATATTGTTTTATAAATCCCTGTAAAAGTGGGTAAAAGAATGAAGGTAATTTTTTTTTTATATATGTATATATGTACTAATCAGTATTCAAAGTTTTAATAGCCTCAACTAACTCGATTTATTTTTTTGGTAATTAACTAATTCAATTTTGAGTTTGAGCCTCTTCATTTTTTCCAAAAATTACGACTCACATAGGATGTAAAGATATTTTAATGCAATAATGAAATGGTCCTTGCCAATAACTAATAAAAAAAGGGAGGAAAAAATCAAATAGCATAATACTTTCAAATGATTGGTGTAATAATTATGTATTACAATTTAAGTACTATTAATAATGATACTTTATTTTAATCCTTTAATGGACATAGTTCCTAAATAGAGAGGTTTTTCATTAGGAGTTCTCTGTAATTCTAGGAAAATATATGATATGATATGATAACTTCTTCAGCAGGCCCAACAAATTTGGCTGTCTAATGTTCTGACTTCAACGGTAATGTGGGCTCAATTTAGAACAAAACCCAAAAATGTTTAAGTATTACGAGTTGGTTTTAAACATAGTTTGAGTTCTTCAAATCAGGGTTCTCACAAGAGAGAATTAATTTCTTTAATAATTTGGATTCTATTAAAAAAAAAATTATAGTTCTTTGAAAGCAAAAAAGTGTCTCTACACACGCCTCCCACCAACTTAAAATTATAGTTCTTTAATAATTTTTTTCACTTTTCTCTTCTCTCTCCTCAATTTCTCTTTCACTCTCTCTCCTTCACCCCACCCAATAATCCATGGGCCTGGAGCGCCAAATTTAAGCTCCAACTTAAGAATGGTCAAAAAGCCTTTTTCATGAAAATTTAGGAGCATATTGTTTCTTCCGTTGTAGAATATAATAAAAGAAAAATTTATTTTTTATATACACATAAAAGTGTGGGGCCTATCTGGATCCATACGAAGAAGAAAGAAAAAAAAAGGACTCCACACACTTTTATATATATATATGTAAGAAATGAATTTAGCGTTTATAACATGATAAACAATAAACCCAAAATTTATACATCTTAAAGGTATGTTATATGTGTTTTACACGAACAAGAATGATTAAGTAGCATAGATGAATTCTCATGTTAATATACTTATGCTATACCGCTTTCATTCATATAAATACATTACTTGGGTTTGAACTTTAAATTCTAGGCCTTTACAATAGTAATTCGTTATGCACAAATAACACAAACTACTGCCTTGTTAGAATTTGCTCTTTTGAAGGGTATTCTTCACAAAGCATTACTTATAATTCCATGACTAGTACCTTATTATTCACTTCCAGGCATTAACATGAAACTGAATTACATGAAATACTACGCAACCAATCTACAAACTCAAATGAAGTAAGCATTACTCAGTGGTATGCCATAAACCTTTAACTTTCAGCTAAGTTTCTCTCTTATGATTCCTTCAATTGATCCCACCAGGCCTACTATTGTTGCAAGAAAGCAAACAAAGCTAAATGTCCTTAGAACAATCCATTTTCTAGTCCAAGCTTCAACTTTGTTCAGTACAAAGTGCATCTCTACTGGGAAATATATAGCCAATGGCCAAAAGATTATGGCTCCTAACACTCCTAGAACAAGGTTGAAGTAAGGAAACAGGATTGCAAATCCAACGGTTGAAATCACATAGGCTGTTCTAAAACAGAACCTGAAAAGATTTAGCTTAAAACCAGGCAATAGAGGCAGTTTCAGTTTGTGGAAGTTATTCACAAAGCCACTATTGGGGAATTTTCTAGAACTCCATCTATCAACAGCACTATATATTGGCTGACTGTAAATCTGATAAGACCATGTACATGAAACACAAATATGTACTGTTAGGTAACATGAAAAGACAGTGAAAGAATATATTCACAGGTAGCTTGAGCATATTGCTAGAAAAATAATTTCACTACAGGTATTGTTGAATATGGAGAAGAACTCACTTACAAACAAAAATTTAGTTTTTCTTTTTTCTTTCTTTTGTCTTCTAATAAAGATATTGAAACAACTAGCTGTGCAAAGACATGATAAATAACTCAAAAGGAAAAGATAGAAAGGAATTACTAGAAAAGATACATTAGGGAAAATTCAAAGGAGGTATTTTTATAATATTCACTCATTACCATGTTGTTTTGGTGTCACTAGAGATTTTTATATTCAAAGGAGAAAAATTAAACCCTTATTATATATGTGCTAAGAACATGGTACATAGTTGTACTGTTGGTGTACATAAGATGTGTCCCATGGAGGGTGAAATATGTTGATATAGGGGGTGTCCATAGTGACAATGGTAGAGACCAAGTACTAGTGAAGCTTCCCATAGTGCATAGGGGGGGGGGGGGGTGTATGGCAAGGTTGGCTCAACCATGTGGGCAGAGTAACAGCATAGTAAAGAGTGGGGAAGATCCCCTCTCCGTGTGTGAGAGGGGCATTTAGAGAGGAGCCTCTTCTCTCGCCTGGGGGCTTGAGCTGGTCCTCTATGAGCTGTCCTAAGCCATGTCTTTGTCTTTGGACAAGACATGCTGCTCCTGTTAGTATACAGGGGCAGCTGTGCAGGAAGGGAAATGTTCCAGTGGTGAGCCTCTATGGCTTATCATGGGTGCCCTCTAGAAGGTTCTAGATGTGGGCTTAAGAGATTGGACTCAACTGGTGGGCCTGAGGTGTGGATCCGGAACAATAGTAAAACAAGATGATTGTGTTGCTGCTTCAAAGGTTGTTCTTCAAATATGTTTTGAGTCATATGACATCAGAACTATTTTCCATCTAAATCCCTTTTGATGTATTGATTTATTATTTTATTTTTTACCTTGTTGGCAGGTTAGCTGCCTGATGCAATTTTACTTTTTGGAGTAATAATGAGGTTTCATCAACTTGACATTAAGCAAATACAAAAAGCACTTCTTATGAGCTATCATAAGTCATGGTTTTAGTGTAAACAAAATTAACTTTGATAAGTAAGACTAGTAGTACCTGATATCCTCCCACCAAATGAAGAATAATGCAAGCATTAGCAAAGTCAATAAGCCAGTAAGGCTCATAAAACCCAAAACCAGTTAAGAGGTTTCCTGGTGTAGCATTTCCAAAAGCTGCATATCCAAAACATCCACAGCAGAGGTAGAAGAATGTTGTAATGAAGATTGCAATCATGGAGGCCTTTTTCATGGTTTGGTTTTCTGGTGGAGGAGACTCTAGAGTGTCCTTTTATCAACAAAAGTCAATACTTTGTTTTAGCTATACATTTTTTTTTAATTCTTTTCCTTACATCACCCTCTACACACCCAATTTGAATAAGAAATGTTAAGTTACCTGTATCTCAAGAAGGATAATAGAGTATGGATAAGCAAAGGCAATGTCACCAAGTGCTTGGAAGATTAACCATATTTTGTCAGCAATATTAGCAGCTGGTACTCCTGTTATGCTCCCCATAATTTTTCCATTTTCTGCAAGTACAACCAAAGTCCTATGAATCATTGTACTCCTTCTGCTCTCTGATTCTAAGTAAATATCATATTATAGTTTGTTTCTTCACGCATAATTCAGCATTTCAACTTTTTGGCCTTCATCGTTTTAACAATATAGTAGCTTGATATGGGTTTTAGCCTTTTAGGACAGTAATATTTTTCTTTCTTCCTCTTGTTGCTTTAATCATCAGAAAGCTTGAAATTGACAAATAAGCTGAACCTTAAATTGACAGAAAATGAATATTACCTATGACTGTTGCTATGCCAAGTCCTAGTCCAATGAAAGAGTATGTAAAGGACATAAGTGCAGCAACAACTGAAACCCATGTCATGTTGTGGAGATCTGGTATGAATGACATTACAACCTGAACAAGTCCAAACAGCATCATATACAAATTACCCCCATAACCACAAGGAGCCTGATGCCCTTCCTTGTGATAACAATTTGATCTCAGAATCGCTCTGTATTAGTAGAATAAACATGTGTCATTCCCTTATGGCCAAAATTATAATAAAAAAAATAAGCCAGTCTCTTTAAAAAAGTACCTCAAACTATTTGCTGTGGTAATTACATAAGCGATACTAGTCCCATACAAGGTCAAAAATTGAAGGAAACCAGCCAAAAATGTCCTTCTCTTACCTGAACTAACACTAAATGCAATTAGAAGTTGTTATAATTATGATGGTAGTTCATGAAAAGCATATCAGTGTTTGGCTACACTGATTCTACAAGAGAAAGGAAAAATAGTTCACTACCAAGATTGACCCTAACAGCATCCATGTAACTGTAGTTTCTTTTCCCAGTTACAGGATCAGGATTTCTGTAACAATCAGACATGAGGAATGAAGAAATATAGGTTACAATTGCAAAACAAAGCAAGGCAACTGGCCCCCCAATCCATCCTAATTGAGAAGTACTCCATGCAAGAGACAGAACACCAGAACCAATAACAGCTGTGATGATATGAGCCACAGCACTCCTTAAAGTTCCTGGCAGAATTTATGGCATAACCAAAATTAAATTCAAATTCAAGTATATGAAAATGGATTGGTTATGGTTCAAGAGAATTTTACCAGTCCTCTTGGCATGTCCATCATCATCATAATCACAGGAAGAACTTCTAGTTATTTGGAGGGAGTTTTTCACATCCATCTTTATCTTAGCATCCAACTCAATGAAATCTCATGGATTTTACTGCATAGTATAGAAAGGTCTAAGCTAATAACATTGAAGACAAACTGTGATGCATCAAGTTGAACTTGAAGTTAATGTCTATGTTGGGGAACTACATAATTTTGGTCTGCATATGACAAGCTAGTCTATGCCTATGGTTTATTTTATATGCAGTTTTTAAAACTGATATTTGTCCCTTTCTTGAAAGACTAGGACAACTCTACTAAAGGTAACTGCTTGAAAGGGAAACATAAGAGAAGTTAACAGTGTGCTTGTGTGGCTGTGTATTGTCAATGTGTCATTCTAAGTGGTTGAGAAACTCCAGCTTTTGGAAGGCATGTGTTTTCTAACAAATGTGTGTAAAAAGACTGCGTTACCAGCTTACTTGTACCAATGTTAATGATCTTGATTTCAATATAATTATATTGAAATAGGTAATAGGTACAACAAGATGCTAAGGCTGAAATAGTTTCAAAGAAGCTATATGAACCTGCATGAGGTGACATTATGAGCTGATTATTATATTAAGAACTTCCAAATAATGGTGGAATTTTCTATCAATTTTTTACTTTCAATATTACTTTATCATACCCGCCGGTTAACGAAGAGTGATTTTTATTTTTAGGATTTTATTAATCTCATGTTAAAGGAGATAAGTTCTCTCATGTCATAGAGACAAATTTGTGGGCTTCACCATCTAAAAAAATAAAAAGAAAAGAAAAGAAAAAAATAACACAATTATGTGTAGGAAAAAAAACTTATATCATGTGTCATGATAGTTTTTCACTTTTTTTATTACTTTATGGTCAAATAAAGTGGCTGGGTTATTGTGAAGTCTTCAAAAACCAAGGGATTGAAAATCATGTTTCTGACTTTTGAATTGTATGAGCATTCCAATTCTTGTTGATAGGACTTATACATCAAAATATGACTTATACTGTAATGACAAGTTCCTTTCAACTTTTCCTTATCATTTAGGCCTCTTGCGTCTAGCATCTTTCACCTCAATGAACAACAAGAACTTTTTCTATTCACATTACAGAATAAGTAGAACCATTGGAGTAAAAGCAACATCTTTGTTGAGTCAAATCTCGTTTTTGAAGCTAACCGTAGTATGATTGAATGGATTATCATGTGGCTCATCGTAATAGATAATCATTAGTGCATTTTGTAAGTTAAAAACTCAAAGTGTCTACCTATATGCTAGCTCACTACATACCAAAAAGTGAGTAGCGTGCTGCAAAAAAAAAAAAGATAGGGCTTTTTGACCGATGCAAAAGCACAAATATATCACCTATTTAATTATTTTGACAAACTATTTACTAACTTAACGTGCATTGAAGACACTGGCGGTCTGACTGAGCCACTTGTTTCATAGGTGGTGACTTAATACTAGTTAATTTTTAAAAATGGTATAAATTTTCTGTAAAAATTATGGTATAACCTTAGCACTAATTGAGTTCTTATAAATAATACATCATTGAAACTGGTTAAATTCTATGTGATTGGGTCTTTTAGCATCAGATGAGTTTTACTTCTGACTCTGCTACTATATAAAAAGTGTGTATTTAAGTCGCACATCATCTCCATGCATAATTTATGCAAAAATTAGTACAATGCAAGATTGTGGCAATGCATGTTCAAGTCACATGTAACTCATACGCGTCTTGCATGTGGCAAACATGTTTTTGTTTTTGCACAAATTAAGTAGAATTAAATATGTAATATGTCTTGAATTTTGCATAAAAAGGGTCAAACAGCCAGAAAACCGAAGATTATATACAAAATAATTTGAGAAAAGCGACCATCATGTAACATGAAACAAAATAATTTTTCCTGAAAGAAAAATGCATGAGTCCCATGTAATAAAAACAAAACAAAAAAGATCGGTGCGGAAACCAATGGTTTAGCAGGTAAAAATTTGTACATCATGTTATTTGATACTCATTTCTCCCAAATAATTTATAATTTTTATATTTGTTACGTTAGACAACATAACTCCACTTTCCTACACACACATCAAATATGTGAGATCCAATTTTTTTTTTCTCTTTCGTCATTTCACTTTCTCTTTTTCCTTTATCGTGTGTATAGAAAAATAAAATTATGTTATGTAACATAACAAATATAAAACCCATAATTTATATACATAATGAAAAATAATAATAATTTAGTCAAACATGGTAGGAAAACAAGCATGAAACTACACTCAGCTTATAACACTAAAGCAACCTTGAATGATGTACTTTTTATTTTCCAGTTCAAAGTTCAAAGAAAAAAAAGCTATCGCAGTATTGACTAATATCGAGTTATTCTACTCAAGAATCTTTCTTTATTTAGTCTCCATATAATATGGGTTGGCACAGCCTATGCTGACCTTTGTCACAAAAAAGTTATGGTCCCAGTGTTCTTTTACGATGACTTTGAAGTCCGCAAGAGAGCTTTATCGAATGTGACAAAATAACACGGTGGCCTACTTATGCATGCTCATTTCTTTGTGCCAAACCTTTCAAATATAATGTCATTTTCCCTCCTACTATTGTCCACAGTCCTAATTAATAATCTTAGTAGCTGACCTCACTTATTAGCCTCTCGCCTTGAATTGAAGAGACAATAGCCTTGGACTCTTGGTCCTTGCACGTGTTCGTCAAATTGTGGAATTCTATTGCGCATGTAGTAACATGATTAGGACCTTTTTTTTTTTTAAAGTATAAGGATCCGGTTGCATATCTTGATGATACGGTTTTGTATTTTGACTTTTTTTAAAGTATGGATTCACATTTAATTTGTGTGTGCAAATAAATATTCTTATCATGTGACATGACAAAAAGCGAACAATATGTTCATCCTCTAGGTAGTGTTTGGTTGGGGAGAAATGAAAATATAGATGGGTAAGTGTATGTGGGTATCTAATAAAACCACATTTGGTTGGAGATTTTTAGTTTCTTTTTCCATCAAAGAGCTTTCCTAGCAAACCAAGAAAGGGACCAAAAACCAAATATCTTCACTGTTGAGAAAGCCTTTGAAGAAGTGGAATTTCTCATCAAAATCGGATATCTTAAAAAGCTGATGAATGACATGCCAAGTTTACCCCTGTTGTGGTTGGAAGAATGTAATAAAACGGTTTCATTTTTACGAGGATAGTTTTGCAATTTCATTAAGTTTTCCCATCAATATTTTATCTTCAACCAAACACACATTCAGATATTTAATTCAATTTTTCTGGTAAAATTTTGTCTAACCAAACAACTTTTTTAAAACTTTCCTATCTAACTCACTCTTCCCCCAAATTTCTAGTATTTATATTTCCCTAGTATTACAAAATTTCTCCCCAACCAAACACTACCCTAGTGAGTAATTAAATTAATTCTTTGTTTGATTTGTATTTTCAATTCTGCTATTATTTTTATTTATTTATTTTTATAACAATTCTGCTATTATTTTAACAATTCCTTTTTCTATTTTTTCTTTAAATATTACGTTACCTTTATTTAATTTAAAATAATAAGTGTGATCAAACATATTTTTCTTTTTGTCTTTAAATTTGGGTATGTCTACAAATATTATTGTGGGGGCTAAACCTTCCAATTATACATTAATTAAGAGATCTTTCCAATAATTCTTACGTTATAATTTTATTTTATTTTTTACGATATCATATCCCTACCCATTTGGATGAGATTACACTGATCACCTAATTTTGATTGGTAAAAGTATACCTCATTTGCACTTACTTAATATTTTATTTTATTTTATTTTTAACATTTTTACTTCTAATGAATTATAAGCTTCTTTTATTCATTTGAAATAACGGCAACTACACATAAATAATATGTGTGAATTAATATGATCAAATTCAATACATCATCATTAAAGAAGATTGTTGCTTATTCAATAAATAATATATTATTAATGCTTATTTTTACTATACGTAAGCTTTTAAACGTTTTAGACCTGACTAAATCAAGAGACTGTTTTAATGAAATTTTTCTTATAACGAGAGAATTAATTGACGCGGATGTAAAAATAAAAAATTCATATTCTTTTCTAGCCGTTAATCCAATTATGCCTAATAATTAATGAATTAAAATCATAAAATATGATTACCAAAAAAGAATCATAAAAACATGAACGGTCCAGATCTCTTCGAGACCGAGGATCCTGATCACCTATAAAGCACTTCTTCGTCGTGTCACCATTACCAATTCTTACAGAAAAAAAAAATCATAAAATATAAGTTTCATGAGTAATTTTTAAATTATTAAGAATTTTTCTTCTTCTCAAAAACATAATTTTGACTGTCTAAATTATTCGATCAGATTACAGAGCAATACAAATGACCCGTCCGTTTATTTCACTCTCACTGAGTCACTAGCTTATTCCTCATATCAAATGTACGAGAAAAAAAAAAATTGATCCATTTGTAACAATATAATTAGGGTTTAATATTTTTGCTTTTGGTGCATAAAACTTTTCTCTACCACACTCACAAAAAAATAAATGGGTCTCATTACATTCTATTAATTTTTCTCTCTCTTTTTATTATAACGGAACTCACTCACTTTTATGTAAATATGGTAAAGAAATTTTTTTTACAATAAAAGCAAAAATATTTTTCCCTATAATTATATGTATAGCATAATTTTAGGCGAATAAAGTCTAAGGGCTTGTTTGGGAGTTACTTTTAGAAGGGAAAGGGAAGGAAGGAGAGGGTTTTACTATACATTCCCTTTGTTTGTGAATTTAAAAAAAGAAAGGAAGGGAATTGAAGATTTTTGTAAAATCCTCCAAAACTCATCTTATCATTAAAATTAAGGTTCCCCCAATTTCGAGGGTTTGAGGAAAAAATATTTGAAATTACTTATTTACCCTTAGTGTTAAAGTATGAAAACTACATAAATGTGAATCATTTTTTAAATGTGACACTACGAAAAAAGTCCCAAATACCAACAGAATTTATCGACGAAAAATATTTTTTCAAAAATAGCGATTGAATTTTTGGCGGAAATCATATTCCGTCAAAAAATAGAGACGGGACAAATTTTCATCAAAAATAGAGACGGAACAGACTTGGTCATAATCACTCATGGAAATTTTTGACTAGAAATATTTCTTTGA